AAAAAGAAAAACATCAATAAAATTTTTTTACAATAATAAATTTATTTATTTATAATTTTTTTTTTATTATTTAACATATAATAAATATATTATAAAAATTTTAATTGATTTTATTAAGTCTAATTTTTTAAATGTCCACAATATTTTCTCCATCATCTGTAGCTTAATGAATCTACTTCCTTATAATAAGATAGTTAATAAATAGCTAAATCACATGGGCAACACAGTAGTCTTGATATTAAGGATTCAAGGATCACATATAAATCTAAATTTATTGACAGATGTTCTGCAATCTTATGTGCTAGTTTAGCTTTCCAAAATTGGATAAATAAATGCAACTCTTGCAGTCTGATTAGAGGCAAAAAAAAAAATAATAACTATATGAGTTGAAATAACAATATAAAATATTTTTATTAATTATTAATATATATTAAAAATTTTTTTTCTACTATATATTTTTTAATAAAATTTATAGTCCGTTATATAACTATCTAAACAAAATATTAATTAAAAAAAATTTTTTAATATAGTTTAGATAAGTAGTTTGATAAATTAGTATTTAACTTATATAATTTAAGAGATAAAGATTTTTGTCAAATGTATATTTTTTATATATTATAATAAAAAATTGAAATTTATTAATAAATAATAATAATAAATAATATCTATTAAATATTTTAAACTTTTTTTATAAGTTCTAAATTTTATATTTATTTTTATATTTATTTTTTAAAATTATTTTTATAATAAAATTTTGGTTTTTTTTTTTAAGTAAATAAATATAATTACTTTATATTAAAATTATTTATATAAAAAAATAATAATATTCTTTATATGATGAGTTGATTAATAAATTTAATATTAGCTTATTTATAAGAAGCTATTTAAATAGTAAAAAAAAAATAAATATTACAATCAATATATATTAAAAATAATATCAAACAGCTATAAATATCCATTCAAAATTATATATAATAAGATTTAAAGAAATAAAAAAGAAATAAAAAATATAAATTTAAAAAAAGATAATAAAAAAATTAATTATAATATAGAGAAAGCTTAATAGATATATTATTTTGATGATTCTATTTTTTTAAAGTACAATAGTTCTTTCTAAAATAGTCAAGTTATAGTTTAAAATATATAAAAGTATTGATAATATTTTTTTTGATAACTGATTAGACATAATAATTAATAGCTAATAATAGTAATTAAAGTTTCAAACTGAGTATTGAAATGATATTAACTTGTAATAAATTTAATATATAGGTTGTTACTTACTATATTAAACTTATAGTAAATCTAATATTAATTTAATATTGAAATAGTATTGATGGAAATTCTAATAATAGTAGTAGTAGTAATAGTATTGTTTTTGGATTTAGATATTTTAGTAATGATTAAAAAAAAAATATAAATAAGACTAATTATAATATAAAAATATCTTGAATTATTAAGTATATTATACTGATTAGTTTACTTAATTAAAATAAGATACTACTTTTAAAAATAATTAAATTATTGTTTAAAGTAAATAATAATGTTATTATTATATTACTTGAATTATATTTTATTATTGTAATTATAATTATTTTTGCTAATATAGTAATTAATTTATTTGTTAATAATATAATTTTGTTTTAATTATTATTGCTAAAATAGATTTTGTTTATATTGTATTTATCATTATAAAATATGTTGATTATATAAGTTTGTTTTAATATTTGATAATGTTTAATTGACTGAGTTAGAAGATTTCTAACAATATATTTCAATATCAAGTTAGTATTGGATTTACTATAAATATATTTAAAAAGCAAATATATTAATATTAATTTTGATTAAATTAATAATTAATTGTTTAAGTTAAAACTTATATATTAAATTTATTAAAAGTTTTTGGTATTCAATTTGAAACTCTAGTATAAATTAATTGATAAAAGTAAATTAATTATTGTTTTTTAATAAAAATTTTTTTGAATAAAATTTTTTGATTTTTTATAATATAACAAAATATATTAAGTAATAATAAAAATAGATTTCATATATGTTATTGATACCTTAAGTTAACAATATAAATAATTTTAAAGTGAAGTTTAATTTTTTGAATTAGTATATAAATTTAGATATAAAATTTATGATGTTTTTTTTTTTGACTCTAAATTAATATTTTATTAAATAGATTATAATATATATATATTTAAAATTTTAATTTAATTTAATTATTATTTATTACATTATCAAAAAAAATATCAGGTCAATTATTTTTGATTCATACTATATTCAAACTTATTTTTATATGCAATAGATTTAAAACAAATTAATTAATAACAAAATAAAATCTTATATTTTTTAAATATATTTTATTTATTATTTTCTTAATAATTAATGAATGAAGATATGAAATTATTTATTTGTTTATGTATATTTTTTGTTAATATATTTTAAAACCTATTATCAGTTAAGGAACATTTCCCTCCCGTTGTTGTTACACACAATATAAATTGTATTATAAAAATAACATTTTGAGTCTTGATTAAGGGAAATGTTCCGTGACTATTATATTTAAATTAATGATCTCTATATTTATTAAATTTGTACTTATAAGGTTATAGTTTTAAAAATATAAACATTATTTTAAAGAATGATTATATAAAAAAGTTTTTTTTTGAACGTTATTGATATTTTTTTTTTATTAAATGAAAATTAATAAAAAAAATAAATTTAATATATAAAATAACAATAAAAAATAATTAATTTCGTTATGTTTATATTTTATCATTTCTAATTTTATAAATAATCTATTGTATTTTTATCTATTTTTTATGAATTAAGTTAAACAAGTCAAATAAAAATGTTTAAATTATGAAATCAATTTTTTTTCAGCATTTCATAACATTAATTAATTTATAAGTAGCACAAGTTTTTTATAACTTAATCGTTTATTAGTTATTGCTTATTTTAAATTATCAATAAATTTGGTTATTTTTTATAATAGTATTGTATATTTTTGAAAATTTATTTTTTAAAAAGTTAATCATTGTTAAAAAAAAGAAACCATAAGTCAATAAACACGAAGAAATTATAATTTGTTTGTTTATTCGTGAATAAATACAATAGGTCATGTGATAAATTTGCAATATTGAATTTATTGGAAAATCAGCCACCTTACGAGCAGCTTTGTGGCATTTTGTATTTGGTCTAATTCTTTATGTGCAAGATAAACAACCTACTTTCCAATCGTTTTTATTGAGATTCCAACATTTTATTAAAAATATAAGATTTGTTAATCAATGAGAACACCTTAAATCTCCATATAATGACAGAGTATTCGATTAATACAAGCTTTCTTTTAATAACCATCTATTAAAGAAATCCAAACTCGGTCGAGGTTGATCATATGGCACCATATGACCAGCCTCGAAAACTCTCAAGAATGTAAGTTCTTTGTACGTACGGATATCACCGGCATGTAGCGAATCACCGTAAGTTAACCATGGTTTAACATCAACGGCATTAAATCCATTTTTGCCTGGCCATTGGAGTTCCTTGACCCAGGCCTCATTGCCTGAAAACAAAATGTGAACACAAGAAAGATTTAAACTTAATTGAGGACACCATTTCATGATTTTGATGACAAATATACTAACCAATCCAATTACAAATATAGTCAGCATCACCGGCATAGATTAATACACGGATATTATTTTCCATTAGAGGTGGGATCAATCGATGGTAAGGGCGCATCCTATAAACTTAAATCAATAAATCGATTTCAAGATAACACATAATATGAAAGAAAATAAATACCAGTCACCAGCCATCATAAATTTGAAATTAATATCCATATTACAACTCTTATATTCTATTCTTGGATTAACTCCCAATGCTTTCTTAACTTCTTCACGATTGGAATATTTCTCAATAGCTTCTAGGATGGGATAACACAAATTTCCACCGTCACATTTCTTCCTTACATCATAAACATTCATTCCAGTTTGTTGATAAGGCATAATCATTTCCCTATTACAACTCATGGTGGCTGGAACACAATTGAACATGTTTGGATTATCGTAGCATCTTTGAATCGATCGCGCACATCTTGGATAAGCTTTCCTCATACGATCACATGTAGCCTCATCCAAAACAGGATCATAAGAGGAATTGCAAGCCATATCCGGGTAAAATTCGTATTGGACCAAAGGATCTACCAGGCCGTTTCCAATCAAGATTGATTCCAATTTAACATGTCTTAGATTTTTTGGTTTTGTTTTTAGGATCCAGGATGAAGTCCCCTTGTTGTTGTTGTTAATTTCGGCAGCAATTGCTGGAATATAGTGCCCAGCATACCTATTTGTTAAAGTTTGTTAGGATAACACGGTTTGATATTTTGGAAAAATATTATAGGTAATTACATCAATAACTACTCACGATTCGCCTGCAATATGGAAGTCCAAGCCAGAATATTGAGAAAATTCTTTGAAAAATATTTGTAGAAAGGCGTAAACATCAACGGCAGCCGAAAGGGTATTGCTCACACCACTACCGTATGAGTATCCAACGTTGGTAGGCTTTTGAAAAAAGAATCGTATACTGTAAGCGGGCATCGGACACAAAGCATAATAATTATACATTCAATGAATATGATTATACTTGATCTAAGAAAATAACGCTAGCATTAGAATTCCACGAGTAGGGATTAAAGATAGTATCAGTCCCTTCTTCGTTGACCATGCAGGGGCCAAGTTCAAAGTATAGGCCAGTTAAAGAGGAACATCTATTTTATAGATTATTTATAAGAATTAAATTTAAAAATATAATACTGAATTAAACCTTGTTGCTTACCCAGGTCCACCATTAAGCTATTAATGATGGAGACAAACAGTTATTAATTCAGCTTATGCAATATATACGCGTAGAGACGTAACATCAAAAGTAAATTCATTTACCCAAAGAACGATTGGATCGGTTTCTGGTTTATTCCTTGATTCAAAGAACCAGAAGAAAAAATGTTTGTTGTTACCAGCATCGAGATATCCAGAATACTAAATAACAATCCAAGTGTATATACGTATATTAAAAAAATATGTGACTTTAAGTAAGGAATCAACTATTGTAAGCTCACCTGTTTAACCGACGGATCACAAATAGTTGGTTCATTTAATTCTATTCGATACTCAGGAAAGGCTTCGTGCATCAAAACCTTTGCTGTATCATCTTGACGTCCTTCATCGATAGTATTATATGATTTGTCCTTGAATTTATCCCCTAACCAATATTCGCTCTCCAAGAGAGCTTCTTGAGAAAAAAGTTGGGCAGGCGCCAAAGAACTTAGCGATATCAAAATACATGACAGTATTATGAAAATTTTAACGTTTAGAAGCGTTCCGATAGTCATTTCGTTATTTCTTATGTTCAAATACTTAAATTGTCGTAGATCAAAAAAGCTTACATTTTATATTGTCTCCAGAAAATTGATACCTTACTATTTGGCGTTTATGTTTTATGTGAAACTCAAATTTGGCGTAAACCTTAAAATGGTAGTTATGTTTTGCGTTACACCGTTAGTTATGTATATAAATGCGGAATGATCGGATGTGAAAAATACTTTTTCTTATACAAAAAATAATGTTACAATATTAGTTGAGTACCACTTAAAGTTAAATAAAAATACACGTACAACAAAAAATCAAAAATCCGCAGTAAGCTACAAAACACGATCCTCTTTTGAATCAGTAATTATTTAAATTAATTATTGATTACCACCTGTTCGTTATGCGATATGGAATAAAATACACGAAATTTTCTTATAAAACAACTTTTCGCTTTAATAACGTATGCACCTCTCAATTATATAAGTCAACTATTTATGAATAATGTGTGAATTTAGGTTATTCTTCGTGCGCACAGACATATTGCACAAAAAGTCAACCCAGCTTCAGAAAAATTGCACAAAAAGTCAACCCAGCTTCAGCAATCTTGTATGATTCATAACGATTATTATTAGATCTCACCTGCATCACTCTGCACCTATCTATTTAACTTGGTTTAATTATTTAAACGCA